ATGTATATATTACAGATCTTATTGTTGTATATATTCCTAACAGAGCACTTCACTCTCAGACTGCAGGTTTACTTGTGGTTCCTAGAGTTTCCAAAAACAGAATGGGAGGAAGATCTTTCAGTTCTCAGGCTCCTCTCTTGTGGAACCAACTTCCAGTTTCTGTCCGTGAGGCTGACACATTGTCCAGTTTTAAGATTGGGATTAAGACTTTCCTTTTTGATAAATCCTATAGTTAGATTTGACTTGGGTTTCCTGAGCTATCCTGTAGTTATGCTGCTATAGGCTTAGACTGCTGGAAGATAAATTGATCACATTCCTTCTAATGAATAGTTACTGTATTTGTAATTATATCGGTCTTATCATGTGTTTTATGTCTTTCCTCCTATAGAAACCACACCTGGACCATAGAAACCACACCTGGACCATAGAAACCATGCCTGGACCCGTCTTTCTGTCTTTCTGTGTTTGTTTGTTTCTACTTCCTGTCCTCTCAAACCCAGCTGGTCGAAGCAGATGGCCACTCATCCTGAGCTGGTTCTACTGGAGGTTTCTTCCTGTTAAAGGGAGTTTTTCCTTTCCACTGTCTCCTTTGTGCTCGCTCAGGACGAGAGACTGTGAGGAAGTGAAGATTCAACACAATCTGCTGCTTCCTTAGAGAGAGAACTTTTACTGGTTTTCTTTTATAATGAATGTGAATGTTTCTGTCCAGTGCTCTGAGATGACCTGTTGTAATTTGGAGCTATAGAAATAAACCGAATTGTATTTGCTGTATGTACAGTATTACTGCTGCTGCCTTACTGGCCAAACACTTTTTGAAAAAGCTGCTTTTTCTGTTGATGAGAATTTGTTTAACCTACAAAATAAAGAATATTTGAACATGTGTGTATATTAGGAGCCAAAGCTAAAATATTAAAGCATCTTTATTGTTTTGTTGGACTTTTCTTGTGGTTTGTGTCTGTTTTTCCCTGCAGCTTTGAAAATATATTAAAAAAAATATTAAAAAGGCAAAAACTTTTCCAAATAGTTGCTGAAAAACTCTCCTAAACCTTTTCCAGTACACGTCCAGCTTGATACTTTAAAACTTAAGTATCTTTTTTCCTTTCACCCAGCGTATCTCACTCCTACAAGATTTATGGTTTCCTCTCAAATCCTCCCAAAGTGAAGAGTCCACATCCAGCTGCCAACGACTTCAGTTTATTTTAGCTCTGCAGAACTGGAAACAAATGGTTCATATAATATTAATCTAAATAAAACTGTAGAAATATTAAATTTTTGTACGTGTGACCATCAGTCTCGGGTCAAAAATGTTTTAGGACAACTTAAATTTTGCACAGCAACTGTTTGTGTGAGGCTTACTTTTTAGTAAGTTTCTGCCTGTCGTTTCAAGCCTTCAGTCAGGATGAGAGAGACAGGTGTGTGGTTACCATGGTGACCATGAGGAGCCACTGTCCTCCTTCTACATGAACAGTTTGAACTTGCACATGTATTTTTTTCTTAGTCTGGATTATTACCAAATTATGGAGTTTTGGGGCAGAAGCTCCTCCGTTCAAAATTAATTCTGATGTTTTCTAGTTATTTGGGTGCAGTCGGGTTTTAACCAGCTGAAGTTTGTTGTTACAGCCGTGTTGCTTCTCTTTCTTTCCTGTTGTGAACTGAATCTGGGCGGATGGTGAGAAACAAACTGGGAGCTCTGGGTGGTTAAAAGCAGTCAAAACACGACGCGCGACTTTGACAGCTTTCTTTACAAACAGCCTCGACGCCGGCTGTCTGCCGGAGAGGAGACAGATGGAGAGCAGCCGAAACTTTGACCTTTTCACTTCATCCTTCAGAAACTTGATTTACTCTCCTGCCAACTGCAAATCTGCTTCTGCTGCTTCGACAGAGAGAGAGAGACGCTGGTTTGAAAACCAAGCAGGTGATCTGAAGGAAGAAATGACGGATCACCCTGAGAAGAGAAAAATTCAGATTATTTTCAATCTGAACTTTAGGAACATTTTGTGCTAGATTTTCAAACGATGCAAAAAGACAGGAACGTTTCCTGCTGTAGCTGTTCGCCATGATGCAGAGTTGGCATCATTCTGGTTTTTGCAAACATCCGCTGCTTTCCTCAGCCTAATCTCTTCAATCTGAGAACCTGCTGTGTTGCAAAAACCATCACGATTTCCTTCTTTAAAAAACCTCCTATAGTCTGCCTTCATATCACTCCATCAAAAGCTAATCCCAGATCAAATCCCTTCATCCTGCTCTGAATTATCTCAAGGTAAGGCTTTTTCTGTTCCTTTCAGATTCCATCTGAAGGTCGGCTTTATTTACCCGGAGCGTCTGTTTATTCCACACCTCCCAACCTACAAACTGTAAAGTTTGACTTTGCACCAAGGACAGAAGGGCTCTCCGAGGTCGGCTGCGAGCGCCGAGGAAACCATCGCACATAAAAAGTGACCGTTACACGGATGGCTGTGCCTCTTTACGAAAGCCCCCCCCCACACACACACACACACACACACACAAAGAGACGCTTACATCATCCCGTTAACGACAGGAAACGGGTAAAAATTAATCAAAGCACGTTGGCCCCGTGCGTGGAAAGGCCTTGCACGTGGAGAGGTGAGGGAACAGGATCAGAGTATTTAATTATGATTGGTTAATTTCCCTGAATAAATTGGAATACAGCTCATACTGTTTACCAAAAGCAAGGAGGCAATTAATCACCGTAATGAGAGCGAGCTGATGTCGACAAACACATTAGTCTTTATTAAAAAGTGAAGGGGGGGGGGGGGGGACGAAATGGTCACTTCAGAGCAGAGAATCCAGACGGAGCCCAGACTCTTTGTTCTTCTCTC